GCGAGCTTTGTCCAATTTCTCTTCTTCTTCCTTCTAGGAAAGCTTGCGAGCTTCTCCTTCCTTTCGTCTTGGCTTCTAATCCCCTTCTTCTCTCCGCAAGATCAACTCCATCAGTATCTTTCGTCTCAAGGAATGCAAGTTTAGGATTTTATGTCAAAGTTTGAATGCGTCATTTGTATGTGTCGTTTGTAAGTCATTTTATTTTATAAAAGTGGAGTTTGTGTTTTGTTTTGAAAGTCATATTTTGTCTAAATTTGAGTATTTATTGTAATCTTTTAGTTCCTAGGAAGAGTCTCTTTTTCTAGCAAAAATTTGGGGCCCTCTCCCAAATTTTTGCTCGCATCAAATTTAGTATCAGAGCCAGGTTAGCAAATCCCGGTTTGTCGTGTGTGTCTTAGTGAGTAATATCAGTTGTCATGTAAGTTTTGTTTTTGACTCATGAGTCATGGTCCATGCAATCAGTCTTCGGAAGCCTCAGGACAAGTTCAATGTAAACTCAAGCTTCATCAGGAGATGAATTCTTTCAACTGGAGGAGAATCTGATGTAGGCAAAGGGGGGGGGGGGGGGGTTGATGGGGGGGGGGGGGGTTCAAAACAAGTTGGATTTTAAATTTGGAAGCTTCTAGGTCCTCTACTAGAATAAGCTTATTAATGTCTAGTACAGAGCCTTTTTTAGCTCATAAATTGAGGTTCATTCCCCCATTTGCTGCCCCGTTGGTTTACCCACTTACCTCTTCTCCTCCCCCTTGTCTTCTCGTATTCCTGTGCTGGGTGACTTTCTTGTGATTTGCCCCTTTGGTTCCCGTGGATGGCTGCTTGGTTCTGCGGCTGGCTGCTTGGTTCCCGTGGCTTTTCTGCTTGGTTCTTGTCGCCTCTCTTCTCTGTTTTGCTGTACCGAATGGGGGCTGATGTTTAGTGGCTGTTGGCCTTTCATTTTCCTAAATTTAATAGGTTTAATTAGTGTTTTTAAAGGGCTATTTGGCTGCCCTCTTTGGTCTTATAAATAGGAGATGTTTTATGTTAAAAAAGGAGAGATATGATGTGATTTTTGGAAGCCATAACCTGCGGGTTTGTTGGAAAAGCTTGCGAGCTTTGTCCAATTTCTCTTCTTCTTCCTTCTAGGAAAACTTGCGAGCTTCTCCTTCCTTTCGTCTTGGCTTCTAATCCCCTTCTTCTCTCCGCAAGATCGATGCCATCAGTATCTTTCGTCTCAAGGAATGCAAGTTTAGGGTTTTATGTCAAAGTTTGTATGCGTCATTTGTATGTGTCGTTTGTAAGTCATTTTATTTTATAAAAGTGAAGTTTGTGTTTTGTTTTGAAAGTTATATTTTGTCTAAATTTGAGTATTTCTTGTAATCTTCTAGTTCCTAGGAAGAGTCTATTTTTATAGCAAAAATTTGGGGCCCTCTCCCAAATTTTTGCTCGCATCATGAAGTCTGTCCAGAGGGGAGAAAGAGGAGGCGGATATGGGGAATGCCAGGAGGGGTACTATGATCGCCGAGGCATTGATTTTGAAGAAAGAAGGGGGGGATTTTGAAGGGGGTTTGGTTTGGGCTTTGACAGGGTAAGAGAAAACTGGGAAACTTGGGGTGCACCTAGCACTTGGGAGAGGGGAAACTCTTGAAGAATCCGGGGCAATGGGGCGGGTTAAAAGGTGAGGAAGTTGAAGATGCCCATATTCAAAGGAGAAGATGCGTATGGGTGGATTTACAAGGTGGAGCGATACTTCGCCGTCAATGAACTGATGGAGGAAGAGAAGCTGACTGCAGCCGGATTATGCTTGGAAGTTGGAAGGGAAAGCCCTATCATGGTTTTAGTGGAGAGACCAGAGGAGGCCGATCAGGACTAGAGGGAATTTAAAAACTGCATAATAGAGCGTTTTCAAACCGATCGGGGAGAAGACTTCTATGAGCAGTTCTTTGTTCGGACACAGGAGGGATCAATAGTATATTACCGGGAGCAGTTTGAGAACCTAGCTAGCAGGGTGGAGCGACTCTCAGATATAGTGTTGGAGGAAAATTTCATGAAAGGGCTGCAGGCGGAGATCCGAGCAGTAGTGAAGGTCTTAATGCCCCGTGACTTGGGGGAGGCCATGAGGTTGGCCTAATTGGTGGAAAATCTAAAGAATTTGGAGAATGGAGCCAGGAGTAGCAGCACCGGAGGCACATACAGAATGACGACCACTCATCTCGCACCTACAAGGTTTCAGTGTATTCTTCAACTGTTTGATTTCCTTGATGAAGGTTGTTAAATTTTTGGAATATGGTTCATGAGTGATTTGAAGGCAAAAACTTTCTTCTCATTTTTTCTTTCATCCTATCCCAATTTTGGATTTTTTCTTTTCCCCGCCTTAGTCTATTATTTTGAAGGTTCTTCCACCATGTTAATGCATGACCAGTGAGTTTTAAGCTAGCAAACTTAACTTTCCTATTATCAGGTATTTCTTTCCACTCAAAAAATTGGTCCATCTTTTCTACCCAATTCGATGAATTGATTGGGTGTAGCTTACCTTCAAAGTTATGTACATCGTTTTTATCCCATGATCCCAATTTCTATGACTTCTATTTTGATTTCTAGGGACTTCCTCTTCACTTTCAAAATTTTGGACATTAGGATTGTTGACATTTAAATTTGCAAGTGTTAGCCATGTTGTTTATTTGATGTTGCAAATCCGCTAATTGTTGCATCATTTGTTGCCAACCCCCTTGATTATTTTGATTAGTCATTTTTTTTAAGAAAAGACTCACACACCAACCTAGGATGTGCTAACCTAGGCTCTGATACCAAACATGATGCAGACAACTAGATAGAAAAAAAAAACTAATAGGGGAGAACACCAGGATTAGTAGATCTTTTCTTGAATCAAAATTTAGAAAGCTAACTTCAAACAAACCTCCAAATAAATGAAAACTAAATTAAAAATAAAAACAGCTACTCTTAGAACAACCGACAAGCAGTCACCTCACATGCAACGAAATAGTAGGTAATATAAAAGAAGTGCTTAAGGACATGCAAACCAAGGGTCCACCACAGCAACTTGGGCCAACGTCCACCACAAAATCCTCCGGCAAATGCAACCAAACCGGCCAACCAACACCTTCAATAGCTTGAGAAGAAAGATACAAGTGGAGTGGAACTTGTGCAGAGAAGGAGATAAGAAGCCCAAGCCGAAATCGAAGAGAGGAGAAGAGAAATGGAACAAGCTCTCAAGCTTTCCCAAGAAGAAACCCTCGGGTTTTTAGCAGCAGCTCATCATTAATGAGCTGGAGCATAGAAGCTCCCAACAAAACAGCAAAAACCGAACAACAAAGCCCAAACCGAGAAGCCAACATCAGCCCAAGAGCCAAGGCACCAAAATAGCTAGCACACCCAAAGTTTGCCAAGCCCAAAGCACTACCTACTCATGATGATTGGTTGCCTTCCATCATATGGTAGCATAAAAAAAATAAAAAATAACTATAGCATTCAAATTACAATAAAAACTAAAACAAAAAATTGAAATTTGCATGCATCAAATATTATTAATTTATCTTATTAAACAAACAATTAATAATTTTTTTTTGAAAAAATATAATTACTTGATAATTATATCTAATAAATAGTTTAATTAAAAAATTAGTAAAATGCCCCTATTTTAATCCATTAGTTTGGATGTTAGGGCCAAAATGGTCCCATTTTAAGAGTTGAGGGGCCAAATTGGTCCATCAAAATAGTTGGAGATCATTTTGGTCCCTCATAAAGAGTTAAGGGTCCATTTTGGTCCATTTCTTATTTTTAAAATTATCTACGTTTTTTTAAGTTTTAACTAATGGCATTAGCTTTAAGTTTAAATTATATGTAAATTCAAAATCATTTACTAGCCATTCAGCAACTTAACTTAATATCTTTGACTTCTTCTTTAGTTTAATAGGAGGTTAGTAGGAGTTCAACCTTGTTCTCAAGATCCAAGCCTCCCAAACTCTCCTGTTTATGGTCAACTGCAAGCTAACTACTGTTGTTCGCTTGCACATTGTCTTTACTTGCATTCAAATCGATAGAACCATTGATGTTGTTGCTGCCTTATGGGTTACCTGAGTATGACATCATTGTCTTTCTTTGTCACTTCTGCATCTTCAAATGTATGTGATTTCTTTCTTTGTCACTTCTGTACCTTCAACTAATTCTTTTTCAGTTTTCATCATTGTTGTCATTGCCAGAATTATTGTTTTGATCACCTTCTTAGCCCAAGTGGGTGGGTTCTTTACATACAATCTCACCTCACATAATTTTATCTTTATACTCTCCTTAAAAATATAGCATTTTTTAAAAAAAAATTTCACGGGATAAAGAGGGGATGGATGGTCGAAGGATTAATGATGAAGAATAAACCTTGTGAAGACTTTTAAAAGGGACGTTGTTACATTAAGTAATTTGTTTAGAAGCTATAACTTGAAGTCCTAATGGTGAGAAACTGCAAGTGGTACAAGCATAATTTAATTGAGGGGTTCCTTGAGAGTTTGTCTAAACGTCATTGCATTCATATGTTTTTTAGTTCCAGTGATAATTCCACTTGAAATAGAACATTCTCATGACAATCAAACTGAATCATCGAGGAAAAAAAAAAAAAACCCCAATAGGCTATAATTCTAAAAAAAAAAAAAAATTCTTACAAGTTACAACTCATATGGTCTGGCCCTGTGTTATTGAACTTGCTTCTTGAAATGATCTTTTTTTTTACTCCGAGTAGCATGTCCACTTGTACTAGTGCATGATATTGTTTTTTTATAAAATTTGCTGTGCATTGATATTATCTGTGTGGCCTGAGTTAAACCAATGCGATATCTACTACTCGAGTTAATGTTTTTTTAAGTAAAACTAACAATGTTCTGTAGATCCACCTCATTTTAAATACTCATGCTATGATATGTCATTCAAGTGCATGTATGAGCTTGTTTGGTGCTATTTTTAGTTATGACTTGTAACAGAAAGTGTGATGGTTTCCTTTTCTTTTATTTTGGTAGGTATATCACGGTCTGCAAAAGGGTATTGCATGATCTCAGTGCTTGAACCCATGAAAACGTTTTCTGAGGAGGATGGCCTTACAGAAGAGGCTATTGTTGCAAAGCTCCGCACATGTCGATGCCACCATTTATTTCTGCACGCTTCCCTGAGAAATAATTCTTCAGGTTGGTACTCACTAAGCTCATATATACCCATTCATGTAGATTGTTTTGGAATCAGTTCAAATCCTCTAGCATTAAACTTGCCTGAATGAAACTATTTTTCTTGTTGCTGAGTTTGTTTATATTTTTATATATTTTTTGTAATGAATTGGAATTTCTCCTAATTCAGCTATTGTTCTTAATTGTGCTATTGGTTTCAAGGTTCGGTTATTAAAATGTTACATTGATAAAAAACATTGCTGGAACTACTAATCCTTAAATCAAATGCAAATTATGCTTCGATTTCTTCCCTTAGAACTCAACGGTTATTTTGAAACTCTTTGAATTTTTTCCTTGTTTTAGCTGATTTACTTAATTTTTTTTTCTTTTATAATTATTAATATGCTACTGTTGATGGCCGAGGGAGGGTTGTCCTTTTATTTTTAGCTATAGGGTAGTTTATATGGTTTGACATGATTTCAGTCTTGATTCAATTTAAAGTTAATTTACCCAAATAATGGGTGGCTTTGGTGGTCGTGTGGTGTTAATTTTTGTTCAATTTTCTTTTGCGGGGGGCAATGTAACAGCTGGGCGGTGAAATTTCAATTTCTCCTCCTTTGGATTGGATAATGTTTAACTTTGTCTCGTTTTGTTTTGCTAACTGTGGTGGTTAAGATTCCTACTCGTGGTTTCTATTTCTGATCACAGCAGATTGAGGCTCCTTAAGCTTTATATTATTGCATTGGGAATTATATCCTGACTCGTGCATATCTATGTATGTACGTTTGTTATTATAGATACCCTTGATTTCACGTGATTTAACAGATCTAATAAAGGCTTGGGTTTTAATTTGAAATTGAAGTTTAATTTTGAGATTAATTTAAATTTGAATGAACATTATCATATTTTAGTCATATCTATTAAATTAAAGATGAGCAGCCTACAACAAGAAATGAATCCATGATTTAAATGTAATGATAGAGATCTGTGATGGGAACATCAGATCGTGGAAAGTATATCAGAGACGTGGCTGACGATCGGTCACGATTGCGCCTATCTATTTTTGAGTTTTCATATGTATTTTCTTTATTTATTTGCTTTATGTATTTGTTTTAGAAGCATTTCCCATGGTACCCTTAATGGTTTTGTCATCATATGCAAGCCCTAGGGGCTATGTCATTTTTAATTTTCCCTTTCATTGTATGAGGCTATATATAATCCCCTTATGTTTCTTTTGAAGTTATTGAATGAATTATAATGAAATTCCTGCAAATTGAGTTATTGTGAGAGCTTGAGAGTCTTGGGAGAGAAAACCCTAGGAGAGGGAAGCGAATCACCCACCAACCTTAGAAGAGTCCGGGTTCGTGGCTTTCTTTTATTCTCTAACCGTTCTTTCCTCCCTCCCTTTTCCCCTAGCTATTGGCCTAGGGTTTCCCAACCCTAAAGCCGCCGGCCTCCACTCCAAGACCAAGCTCCACCGCCAGTCAATACTCCTCCCCCTCCCCACCTAGCCGCCGGCCCCTCCCCTTTCCAATTCCACTTGCCTCCACATTCACACCCTCTTCATTACTTTCCTTTTCCACCAAACTCTCTTTGGAAAGCCTTAATTTCAATTATTCAATCTAATTTGAATTTTAAAATCTTTCCAAAATTAGAATTCATTTTAGGAAAGTTTTCAAAAGAAATCCTATTTCAATTTTAAATTAGATTGGAATGAGATCACTCCTTCCTAATTTAATATGCCAAATCAAGAAAGCTTGATTTCTTTCCCCAAGCTCCCCTCTCTCTCTCTATGCTGCCGGTCCCTCTATGCCCCACCCATTAAATTTTTTCCAAAGTTAAGCCTCTTGCTTGGGAAAGATTTCAAACTCTATCCCTCTCTTACCCCCCCTCCCTTTCTCCAATTTCCCTTTAAATCTTTTCCAAACTTAAAGGATTAATTGGGGAAACAATTTCCCACTTTCCCTCCATCCTTCCTCCTTAAAATCTGAACCCTTTTTCTCTTCACCTCCCTCTCTAACCTAGCTAGTTTTCCCCTGCTCATAATACCTCTAAAATCTGAACCAAAATCTCCCCAAGTTCCCTACCTTGGTCGGTCACCTTTTCACCCCTTCCCCTACTTGGATTCTTGAGAGAAACTTCTTTGTCTCAAGGGGAATCTACAAGGATAGCAAAGGGACATCTTCTACAACACTACAACACTACGAAATCGATGCATGACCAATCCTGAACTTGACTCTGGCTTTGTCTATACGAACAAGGCTTCATCGACATACTCCGATCGCCTTTCTTCGACGCCAATCCGGAAGTAGACAATTCTGCCGAGGAATGCTTGGAGCGTATCATATTAACCCTGTTAGAAGCTATTGAAGAACAACTTTCCACCGTTAAGTGGCAAATCATCGCCGTGCCTCGACAAGGTTGAACTTTTCCCCCTCTTCAATTTCCTTCCTAATCTTCTTCTATTGTAGGTTGTGAATCTGATGAGGACATCAGAAGATCAATGATCTATGGTCACGATCTACTTTTGATTATTATTGTATTTGATGTATTTTGTTTTATTTTTTATGAGTCTATTGTATTTCTTTCCGTTTATTCCCTTGCTTAAGGGCCTCGTCATGTGTTTGCCTTAGGGGCAATTGTGTCTTTGTATTTTTTTTTTTTATTTTGTTGGCTATTTAAAGCCTTCCCCTCTTCATGTAAAGGGAAGGAAGTATTGATAATGAAAATTGTATGTTCTTGTTGATCTCTTTGTGAGTTCATGAGAGGAGAAGCCCGAGGAGGGTGATTTGCAATACCCGTCAATCTTTGGAAGAGTCCAATGTTCACAGTTCTTATGATCTCTTTGTGAGTTCGTTATTTACTCTTATCTTACTTGTAATTTTTTTGTTCATCTCCTTTCTCCCCTCTTCACCCACCCAAGTCCTCCCCTAGCTCCACCACCCCAAGCTGAACCACCATCATAGCCCGTCTCCTCCAACCGACCCTAACTCCACCTCCAAACCGCTCGGCCCATCTCCACATCCCACTACCCGCCGGCCAAATCCCACCACCAAACCCACCGCCGGCCCCCTTCTTTTCACCACTTAATGGTAATTTAATCACCATTAAAACCTACCTAATTTAGCTTACAGGATTTTGGAGAGCCATCATTCCATTTGAAATTCAAATTTGAATTTCAAATCCTTTCCTAAATTAGCCAAACCAAATTAGGAAAGTTTTCAAACCAAATCTAATTTAATATTTAATTAAATTGGATTTCTTATTCCAATGCATAAATGGGTTTAATGCATTAAGAGGCATTAATTGCTCTCCCCCTCTTCCTCCTCCCCTAAGCATGCCGCCGGCCCATCAATGGGTTCTCCCATTTAATGCCCAATTAAGATTCAAGCCTCATTTGAATTTGAATTCAAATTCAAATCCAACTCCTGTCCCCTCCCTCTCTCCCAACATTAATTAACACCCATTAATTGCCTTCCATTACAACTCCCCAATCAATCCCTTAATCACCCTAGCCGCCACCTCCAAGCCCCTTCCCTCTCAGTTTTCCTCCTCTCATGAACTACTAAGTGCTATCCCAATTATCTGCTGCTGTCCAAGAACTATAGCAGGTTTCCCTTGCTGTCTAGCATTCCCGAGAGGCTTATTTCCAATTGAATAAGCTATTGGTGGAGTCTTCTGAATGTTGTTCGGGCTGCTATCTGGCGCCTCTCAAGTGCCAAACTGCTGTCGAAAACTTCACGTGCTGCTGTTTACACCTTTCTAGTTGCTGTTCAGAAGTTTGGAGCCTCTTTTCCGGAGAACCCTGCCATTCTACCACACAGAATTGTTGTCCCAAGAAGGCTAGATTGCTGTCCTAACATCGAAGACTAAGGAGGGTGTGATTTGAAGTTTTCGACTACCGCCTAAGTTCTGATAATGGTGAATTCTTTCCCTAATCTCTTATCTTCCTAGTTATCCTACTATGTGGCTTGATCGATTCATAAGAATCTTGTTAATTACTCTCCGCTAAAGCCTTAGAATTAAAGAGTTGATTGAGCAGACTCTAACATAGTGACTAGTCTTGTTGTTAAGAAAGGGATTTTTGTTGGAATCAATCATGTTTGCAACGCCATGGTAATTGACTAGTTTACAATCTTAACTTCCACGCATGTGATTTAGCCTAAGCTTATTTTATCCCCTTATCGTTTTATTTTGTCGTTTATCATCAAGAGAAAGCTTATAATTATTGTGCTCTAAAATTTAAGCGTGCAAACTCTCTAAGTTAATCATCCATGCATGTACGTTTTACATCAGAATCAAGCATAAGGAATCGTGCAAAGCTATCTGCCAAAGCTTAGTAAACGTAGGGAATGAATTATATCTTTCTATGCATCTACTCTAATTGTTAATCTAGGGATGTTATTGAAAATCCCCTAAATTTGCTTATGTTGAAGTTCTAAATGTTTTGGTGATCTTAACTATTAGCGTGTGATTTGGCCTAAGCGGAAGCACCCCTCTTTTGTTTTCTATTATCGTTAAATGGCTAACGTTTTAAATTTTATTGTTCTCACTTTTAAAAGCATGCAAATTCTTATTACAATCATTTAAATCATACATAGTCCTACATCAATCTGTCTTTTCCAGCCTTTACGTTAGTCTACAACAAGAACTAAATAATCTGTCCATGTTTCCAGATGTTTACTCTGGATGCATTCTTTGATACATCTACCATAAAATCAGAGCATAGTTGGTTAAAAATAAATGCTAATTATTTAAACCCTGACTATGTTCTTCCTGTGATCTAATTTTGGCAGGCTTGCCATGTAGGTACCTTTCGATGGGGAGAATACGGTGAAGGAGGCCTCTTGTGGGGTGAATGTAATGGAAAGCCCTTTGAATGGTTTGATGGCATCCCTGTTGAGGAGCTCTTATTCAAGGTTTGTGCATTGGACAGTTAAAATAATGTGGAAGTTAGAATGAATGCGTTCTTTGCCCCTACCACAATTTTGAAGCCATACTAAGAAAGGTTTTTTGGCATTGAGTTCCTATTTCTTTGTGATGATCATCAAGCTAACCAAATCAATTCAAGTTGTATAAATTAAATTTTTTATTGCAGAGGAGAGAAGGCTTTCCACCAGCTATGTATCTTTTGTGTGCACGTGTATATATCTATGAATAATCACACATCTATGTATATTTTTGATGGGGAGTTTTAATCTTCAATGTGAAAATACTCATTTGCGATTGAGTACAACAACAACAACATCAAGCCGTTGTCCCACTACGTGGGGTCGGTTACAAGAATTCTTTTTCTCCATTGTGTCCTGTTAGAAGTCAAATTCTCATTTAAATCTAATAAAAATAGCACAATTTGCGATTGAGTACTAGATAAAAATGTTATTATACTATGAACTTAATTACAAAATTGCATTTTAATTTTTACATATAGAGATTTTCCCCTAACTTAAATGCTTGATTGAATTGAGTTTATTTTATTATTGGGTGCATGTTTCCCATAGGGTCAAGTTCTTATTGTTAATTACATATCAGGTGATTTTGTTCCTTAAGAAAGCTTTCAATTTTGTTCCTTAATAATGTTTCATATGATATTCCTGAACGAATATAAATTTGTTTGATGCTGATTTTGATAAGTATGCCTTTATGGATAAGCAATCAGTCAAACACTGGATTATATTTTAAGATCCTTAGTTTGAAAATTGCATATTTGAGGAAAATTGAAAATCTTAGTGAATGTAATATTTCAATATTTTGGCATAGTGTAGGTTTTTATATGAAATGCAACTTATATTGAGTTGAACAAGTGTGTGGCCACTTGATTGGGATATAATAGCTATGCGAAATGTATGATCTGATATAGGTGACGGGATTGGTTTAATATGAATGCAACTTTCAGGTATAGTGGATATCAGACCTAAATCTAATAATCCAACTCTTTGATCGTTGTCTTCTTCCTTTGGTTTTTGAGTTACAAGCATCCTTTGAAAATCACCGAATATTCATGGATTAACAAAGAGGAAAATGAGGTTATGGTTTGAGAAACATCAACATAGGTGTTCTAAACGGTCCCAAGGCTGAATGGGTTCATCAAGCATACACGACCACAAAGGTTGATAGACCTAGGTTCTCTATTTGTAGAAAGTACCTCATTGGAGCTATCGTTTGATGGCAAACCATTTGTAGTGCCGTCTTCTAGTAGAGACGAAGACAATCGAGATGGTAAATTTTGCTTGCGAGCACTCAAACTGTTATGGACGTCATCACCGTCACCAACTCACCAAAGTTGATGAACGAGGAAGAAGAAAAGGATTTGATGGATAGACTCAGCTATATAGGAGATTAACTCCTCTGTTTTTGATAAGAGAGATTATTTTTCTGACTTTGGAAGCCTCCATTGGTTGGGAAGAGAGAAAGAGAGGCAGAGGATTGGGAATACCTTCTCAAGTTGCGATGAAAGTTGAAGAAAGCCGCCACCTACATATTTCTAAGGAGTTGAAAAAAGCCTTTGCACTTCTTAATACTAAATCCTAAGCTTGTAGAATCTTTTTGTTTGCTCAACAGAAAGAATGTGATTCTCTTATCCCTAGGAGCCAAATCTTAGCTTCCTTATTTGATTAACTTAAATTAAACAGGAAACATCTCATCTTCTTAAATTTATTTTGAACTCTCTTGCCTTTACACAAATTTTCAGGTGGCTTGAGTTGTGTTGAAGTCAAAGTGTCAAACCCAAATTTGATTTCCCCAAACGTATTTGCTTAGTGCAGAGGCTTGGAGAGAAAAAAAAGGTCCTTATCCTTTATACCTTCATTTGAATGTTTCCTAAAACCTTTCAATGAGTTTAAAATTACCATAGCATTTGTTAGGGACCCTTTGAGGAGTTTAGAAACCTTTGATAAGCCTTAGGTTTTTCCTGGTGTGGATTAAACCAAATTCAATCCAATCTTGTTTAACCAGCTTCTTCACTTAAAAACTCTTTCTAAATTCCACCTAGAGGTCCACAAATGACCTCTAGGAGCTAAAATCTGGAATTGGTCTCTGCTTGTTTGACCTTATGTGACACAAAATCACAGAAATTTTCTTTCATTGTTAGCTTCAAATCTTTAGGGCCTATTGTGTTTCATTGGCCCTAAAGCTATTGAAACATTTGTCTTCATTTGCTTGGAGTCAAATCCAAGTCGTAAATATATCTCTTAGTGATGGGGACATCGACAGGAGATTCCGGCGCGTTTATCAGAGACGACACCGGAGATCGACGGCCATGATGGAGAGCCTATACTACTGATGATTATTTGTATATGCATTTTATGTATTACGCATTTATTTTTAGTTTTTCCATTTTTACTCTTGTGGGTATTTGTTTGCTTTTGTAGCCCAAGGGGCATACTAGACTTTTGTACTTGTTGTCATTTGGAGCCTATTTATATGGCTCTTGTATCTTGTATGAGGACTTTTGATTATTGAATGAAATTTTCTACTATTGATCTCTTTGTGAGTTCTCCATTTCCCTAGTTCTCTTCGTGAGTTCTTGAGGGTAGTTTCGTGGATCTCTGTGTGAGTTCCGGCATCCCTACAATCTCCTTTGAAGATCTTGAAGAAGAGGTGCGTGAGATTAGAAATTTTGAAATTCCTCCAAATTTCTCATCCCGTTTCCAAGCTCAGGAATTCCTTTCCCAATTTTCCCTTGCCGCCGGCCCTGTGGCCCGTCCAGAAAATTGGCCGCTGGCCAATTGCTTCCTCCTGCAAACAGGCCCCCCTGCCGACCCCCCACTCCCCACTTCCAGCAGCCACCGTGAGCCCCTAGCCCGCCGACCCAGCAGCCCCCCCCGGATGCAAACCTGCTTGAATTTCAAATCTCCCTAATTAAATCAATTTCCTAATTAGTATTTATCTATTTAGGAAAGGCATTTAAGGGGATTAATCCCCTCTTAACAAATTATTTTTGGCAGTTACTTAAGATACAATCAAATCTGAAATTACAATTTTAGATTTAATTGGGAATCATTTATTCAACCGTGGGCCCAACTTTCTAAATTCCAAAGCCTCTCTCTCCTTGCTATATGGCCGACCACCCTTGCCCATTAATTCTCTCCCAAATTGCCACCTAATCACCTCTTAATATCTCATTTATTCTTTTCCCCACAAGATCAAATTTTGATTTCAAAATCTGAATTTGAAATTAAGATTTGTTATTTTTCTCCCTAATCAAAATCTGAAGTAAAATCTCAGATTTTCTCCTCCCACAAAACAGCCATCTCTTCTCCCCTCTCCCTCACAACCGAGATCCCACCTCTCCGCTAACTCCACGGCCCAAACCTTTCCCCCCTCCACGTCCATGTCGTATGGCGGATCCCGCCGTTGACCACGAACTCTTCTACGACATCTACGGAAACATCCACGTCCTAAGATCTCCTTTCTTTGACGTTGGATTTGGCTTCGACAATACCATCGAGGATTACCTGGATCGGATCCTTCCAACACTAGTGGACGCCGTCGACGACCAATTTTCAGACTACACGTGGATCATCAAAGGTTACCCTCCCGTGCCACCTCCACCTCCAAGTTCCTTCTCAACAGCGACATTCCTTGGCTCCTCCCTCCTCGTGGCAACCTCATTTCTAGTGTGGACGCTCTTTCGCCGCTCAACCTAGTTTCGTAGGAAAAAGAGAGTAAGGCCTCAAGGTGAACAACTCATTATTAATCGTTGGATTCAAGTTATAAGCTTTTAACGTTACTATTTCCTTTGTATTTGATTAAATCGTTTGGTTAATCTCATTGTAATTCTTTGCCTAAGCAAGTTAAACACTACGAATTCTTGTAGCCGATTTTGACTTGATGCATGATTCTATAAATGATTAAGCTATTATTAAATCTTCTTTTTAATCTTGTGTAACTCAACCATGCATCACATCACTTAGTCTTATGATTAAATCCTTGTAAACTTTCCTATTTGACACACATCAAATTGGAGCACTGTTTTTGCTAGGCCTCAAAGTTAATGCCCATACAACTCAAGTAAGGTGTAACTTGGGTAAGCATTAATTCTATAACTAGCAAAGCTTTAAAATCTTATATTAAAATCCCCAAGCAGTTTTCGTTTCCATCGCATGTTGTTTCACATCAATAGATTTCATCATTTACTCAAAATAGGTTATTTTTACTCTTTTTGAACCAAATATTAAAAACTTCAAAAATCATAAACATAATTTAAGTATTTTTGATGTAATGATGTATCATTTCACTCTAAAAGGTGGAATATTTTTTTCATTGGATCTTTGGACACCTGGGAATGACATACTTGCCTCAAAGCAAGCTGTGGTCTTCTCATGCGTTTTTCATGACCTTTTAAAAATAGAAAAATTCTTTAAAATCCATATAAAAATTTTAGTCACAAAGAATTTAAAAGAAAATCACCAATGAATAGATTAATTCTCGTCATATTTAATAATAAACTAATACATCAAATGATATAAGCTGCACAACCTTTTATGCATCATGCAATTATGTTTTTGTTTGTGTGCATTTGGTTGTAATCTTCAGTGTGACTTGATTGTTTATATTGTTGGCACTTGCCCCTTAATTATTAAGGTTGAGATATTTATTCTTTTATGCAAGTACACATGCCTAAAAAGGGCAACTAAAGTTAGAAACCATCATATAATTGCTTTTAGTTGCAGCCACTGTATATGCTAAAGCATTGAGTGGACATGACCGATAGGGATTGAAGTCATCTTGACACCAATTAGTGCTAGGAAATTTGTGATGTTTCTGGATCGCTATACATTACATGCTTCTTAAAATTTATTTTATATGAAAAATAGTCTTTTCGATTTCTTTTCAAAATTGTAATTCATGCTTTCTCCCATGTTTCTTCTGATGCTTTGCTTGGTGGTAGTGGTTTGGGCATATTGTATGGTCGGTT